TACAACAATGGGGAATAAGCGGTCGCCTCTGCAGAACCCTTAGCAGGTTATCTCCTGCGGCCCAAGCAAATCCAGTTCCCACCTTTTCTCCAGAGAAGATGGTTCCCACACCCTTCCTATCTCCTCCCAGTGAAGGCTACTTCCTTATTGCAGTACCTCCTTCGGTGTGCTCTAGTTAGACATGTGAGTTCAGAAATCCTGAGCCAAATAGCACAGATCTGGGGGCTGGGAAGTTGGCTCAGTGGTAGAGTGCTTGCCTTGCATGCCTGAGGCCCTGGGTTTGATTCCTCAGCACCACATAAGCAAAAAAGAAAAAAGCTGAAGTGGCGCTGTGGCTCAAGTGGTAGAGCACTAGCTTTGAGCTGAAGAGCTGAGGGACAGCACTCAGGCCCAGAGTTCATGCCCCACGATGGGACCCCCCAAAAAAAACAACCCCCCCCAAAATAGCACAGATCTGGCACTCCCTGGGCCAGGGATAGTTATTTTTATTTATTTTTGTCGGCTGTGGGGCCTGAACTCTGGGCCTGGGCTCTGTCCCTTAGCGCTTCAGCTCAAGGCTAGCACTCTACCACTTGAGCCACAGTGCCACATCCAGCTTTTTCTGCTTATGTGGTGCTGAGGAATCGAACCCAGGGCCTCATGCACGCAAAGCAAGCGCTCTACCACTGAGCCACCTTCCCCAGCCCCAGGGACGGTTATTTATGAAGCCATTTGGCTTGTTTTCTTGGTGAGTGGCTGCTCACATTGCGTGAGTATCTATACTTGCCGTACCAACAGGTCAAGCCAAGCTTCTTAAATTCTGCTTTTCAAGCAATTTTTTTGGGGGGAGGGGGGTGGTCAGTCCTGAGGCTTGAATTCAGGGCCTAGCCACTGTCCCTGAGCTTCTTTGCTCAAGCCTGTTGCTTTACCACTTGAGCCCCAGCTCTGCTTCTGGCTTTTTCTTGATGGTTATTTGGAAATAGAGTCTCATGGACTTTCTTACCTAAGCTAGCTTTGAACCATGATCTTCATAATCTCCTCTGCCACTGGCACCCAGCTCAAGTGATTCTTCTAAACAAAGGTACTGTACTTTATATTTATTGCTGTCAAAAGTCATCTTTTAAAAGAGCATCTTATACTCCTGGAGATGACTTTGAGTAATTATTTTGGCATCTATCTTACTCTGATGCTTTTTTATATCTTAAAACATTAATAAAACATTAGTCATAATACTGATTTGGCAGCACTAGTACCAAAATTGGAATGATACAAAGATTGGCATGACCCATGTTCAAAGACATGCAAATTCATCAAGCATCTCATATTGTTAAGAAACTAGTTGAGACTGGACAAAAGGAAACTATGTATTCCTCTTGTTGAGAACTCTCCCAAGGTTCATCAGCACTCTTAGTTAGTACTGGCCTCTTTCTCTGTGATAATCTAAACCCTCATCTCTCTATTGTATCCCCAAAAGATGTCTTACCTTCCTGAAATGACATGGTGGTTTGATAATGTAATCCTACCAAGAAAGGAAGTGGTGTTTCTTTGTAATGTCTTACTTGAAAAGAACCTATGATGACCTGTTAGTTTTTCCCTGAAAACTAGCCAAGAATTTAGCTGGGCGCTGGTGCCTCACGCCTGTAATCCTAGCTACTTAGGAGGCTGAGATCTGAGGATTGCGGTTCAAAGCCAGCCTGGGCAGGAAAGTCCATAAGACTTATCTCCAATAGACCACTAGAAAACTGCAAGTGGCGCTGTGGCTCAAGCGGTAAAGCACTCGCCTTGAGCTGAAAAGCACAGGGACAGCACCCAAGCCCAGAGTTCAAGCCCCATGACCGACCAAAAACAAAAAAGTTAGCCAAGAATTTATATTCAGTATTTTCCTAGGATTGGCATTATGTTTAGTAGTCTATGTGTCAAAAGTCTATTTTCTTTTCTGTTTGAAAAATCTCAGTATCTGTGTGTGTGTGTGTGTATGTGGTGTTGGTTGTTTTCTACCACTTGAGTCACAGCTTCACTTCTGGCTTCCTTTTTTATTTTTACTTTGTCAGTTGTAGAGCTTGAACACGGGGCCTGGGCGCTGTCCCTGCGCTCTTCAGCTCAAGGCAAGCACTCTACCACTTGAGCCACAGTGCAACTTCTGGTTTTCTGGTGGTTAAGAAGATGAGTCTCACGGACTTTCCTGCCCGGGCTAGCTTTGAACCGCAATCCTCAGATCTCAGCCTCCTGAGTAGCTAGGATTATAGACATGAGCCACCAGGGCCTGGCTTCTTTTTAAAAAAATTTTTTGGTGCTTAATCAGAGACTTTCCTTTCCCAGGCTGGTTTTGAAACCATGATCCTTAGATCTCAGCCTCATGAGTAGGTAGGTTACAGGTGTGAGCCACTGATGCCTGACTTAGGGGTCTCTATTCTTTTGTTTATCCAATCTACCATTCCTGTTCATATCAGAAGGGTCACTCTAAAATACTAGCTGCAGGCTGGCAGGTAGTTGTGGCAGAGCACTTGCTTAGCTGCATGAGGCCCTATATTTCATTCCTAGTCTCTCTCTCACACACACACGTTAGTCATCATCTAAATTCTTTTCCTACTGCCTTTAACATAAAGCCTACAGTTTCAGTGTGGCAATCAGCCTTCTTAATCCGGTGCCAGCCTGTCTTCCTTCCCCCAGGCTTGCCAGACTTCTCCCATCTTCCAGAGCTGCACCCTCATGCCTTTGTACATTCTGCTCTTTGATTCAGAAATGTCATTTCCCTGCTATGATTTGATGAAAATTGAGCCCAGCTCCAATACTCTGTCTTGTAGTTGAATCATTCCTGATGTTCCAGTCCTCAGCAGATGTTCCTTTCATTCCAGCCCAAGAACAGGTAGATTGCATCTCTGCTCAGGAAGCAGTGACCACCTTGCCTTCGAGGGTAGCTGCCAGTCTACTCCTACATGTCTTCATTGCAACAGCTGCTTGCAAACAGCCATGGTGCTCCTCCTAGCAAGAACAGGGTATAACAAGTGCGTGACACTGTGATCACTCATACACACACATTTACACACACCCCACACATCCACGTATGCAGGAAAGTCTGCAGCCCCAATGAACAACCACAAAGCCAAAATTGGAGCTGTGACTCAAATGGTAGAGTGCTAGGCTTGAGTGAAAAAGCTAAAGGACAGTGCCCTGGCTCTGAGTTCAAGCCCCATTCTGGTACGCAAAATAATCTAACAACCCTCACTCCCCATCACTGCCCCAAACTGCTGAGAACAGCCAAATGTGTTGTTACATGCCTGTAATTTCAGCTCTAGATCCTGAGTAGCACAGTGAGACTATGTCTCAAAACTAACCCCTTTCCCAAACAAACCCAAACCTATTGAGAACTGGACTATTTACTTACCGAATAGGAGAAAGAACTAAGACCACATGCATTAATGTGACTGTAATTCAACTGTCTACATGAACATCACTTGAATGCCATGAAATTCTTGCCCAAGAGGATGAAGTTGCAAATACTTCAATGCAGTTCCAGGAACTTCCTCAAAATCCATTTATAGGAAGAGAATATATTACTGAACTCATCCAGGCAAAAAGTCCCTCTCCTCAAGATCACTGGGCATAACAAGCAACTGTGTACTCTTTTTTTTTTTTTATTTGTGAACAGAGGGGTTACAATTACATGGGCAGGATAATGCGTACATTTCTTACCAAGCATTGCAGCCTCCTCCTTTGGTTTAACTGTGTACTCTTCTAGGCTTGCTTAATAACTCTTGCCTCTGTGCCTCTGTCTGCCCACTCTGTCAGGTCCCCTGCTTGAAAGCTGTTTGCTTATTTCTTTGGGGACAGGGTCTCCTGCCATGTAGACTGTGCTAGCCCTGAACTATCACTCCTTTTTCTTCTGCCTTCCAAACACTAGGATTACAGGCCCCAACCACCATGCCAACCGAAAAGCCTATTTTAAACCAGATCCCCTAAATCTTATACATATCCTGGCCTGGACCATTTTTTATTTTTTCCTCTGTTATGAGGCTTGAATTCAGGGCCTGGGTATTCTTGTGCTCTTTTGTTCAGGGCTAGCACTCTTATGCTTCCAGCTCCACTTCGGGTGGAGCAGGTGCCTCACACCTGTAATCCTAGCTACCCAGGAAGCTGAGATCTGAGGATAACAGTTCAAAGCCAGCTCAGGCAGGAAAGTCCATGAGACTCTGTCTCCAAAAACCAGAAAACCATTATTAGCGCTGTGGCTCAAATGGTAGGGAGCTCGCCTAGAGCAGAAAAGCTCAGTGCCCCAGGCTCTGAATCCAAGCCCCACGATTGACCAAAAAACCCACATACACACCCCAAAAAATACAAACCACCCCACAACAGAGAGCTAGATGTGGGGATACATTCTTGTAATCCCGGCCCTTGGGGGAGGCTGAGCAAAGAGGATAGGCCATTTGAGGCCAAGTTGGACTGTTTACAGTCAGGATTTTTCAAAATGGAAAATTAAAATAAGTATACATGTAAACATAACCCAAGGTCATCCCAGTCACTGCACCTCATCAGTACACTCCCAGACCTTCGGGCTGCGGAGTCCCTGCAGCACCCGCCGACCCGCATCTCCCAAGGCGCACGCACAGGCCGAAAGGTCACCGGGGCCCGGGAAGCGGGGTCAGGACCCACGCACCTGCCCCGCACCTCCCGGTGCTCTTCTCCATGCTTCCCCAGGCCCGGCCCGCCCCTTCCCCGGCAACCCCGGGGGATCAGGGCTCCCTAACTTTGCCCGGGCGGGCCAGGGGCTCCGGATCCTCCTCCTCCACGGTGGGTACGAGGATTACAGGACGGCCCGGGCGGTGGCCGAGCAGAGAGAGCCCGGCGCGCCGGGCCCGGGTCAGGAGGGCGTTGGAAATTCCCGCGCGTGCGAGTGCGCGCGCGCGCGCGCGACGCCGGGCGGGGGCGGGGGGAACCCGTGGAGTGAGGCTGTGACGTGCGGCGTCGGGGGCGTGTCCTCGCGAGGCCCCGCCCCCTCGCCCTCTCTCCCTCGCGCGCGCGGGTCGGGGTTACATGGCGGCGACTGCGGCAAAGCGAGAGCCTCGGAGACGCCGCTGCCGCCAGCACAGCCGGAGACCGGAGCCGACCGTGGGGTCAGTCTGCGGGCCCCGCAGCCCCTCGATGAGTCGGAGGAGTCCCGTGAGTGTCGGTGTGGTGTGTGTGTGCGGGGTGTGT